TGGTACCACCCTTCCTGAAAATGTAGGAGTAGAGGGCTCTAATATGGTCCACACACAATTAAATCCTTCTAATGTTTCTGGTTCTAGTATACAACGGTCATATAGTAGAGAAAAAGATCTTGAAGAATTAGCTAAAATGATTGTTGTTATGGGTTTGCCATTTAGTTTTGCTGAAAATCCCGGTTTTATTCATTATATTCAAATTGTGTATAATCCACATTTTAAAGGTTTTACTAGAAATACAATTAAAAAGGCTATTTTTGATTATCAAGCTCAACATTTTCAATATCTTCGTTGTTTATTTTATTATAACAATTGTAAAATAGCTATTACTTCTGATATGGGCCGTAGTGTAAATGGTAATGATTATTTCACAATTACTGCGCATTGGATTGATGAAAATTGGACTTTGCAAAAAAAAAATTAGGTTATAAATGTTGTGAAATGCATAAAACCGGTAGTTATATAGCTCAAACAATTATAGATGTTTTGCAAAACTATGGAATTTGTGATAAAATAAGTAGTGTCACATTAGATAATGCTTCTAATAATAGAAATGCTGTTGAAATACTAAAACCGTCTCTTTGCCCTATTTATATTGATGGTTTTCATATTAGGTGTGCTGCACACATATATAATTTAATTGTTAGAGATGGTATAGCAATGTATGATGATGGTTGCACAAAAGTTGAAACTGCATGTCATTTTATTTTTAAATGTCAAGTTAAGTCTAGACGTAGAGATTTTGAAAATCATTGTCGTGAATTTAATCTTCCACCTAGAAAAATTCTAAAATCAGTGTGTACTAGATGGAATTCTTTATTTGAAATGCTTGAAGTTGCTTATGAATATAGGAAACCTTTACAAATGGTTTGGAATGCTCATAATTCAAATATGACAAATAGGCTTGATGATAATGATTGGAATGACGTAAAAGAACTTATAGAATTCTTAAAAGTTTTTTATTGCCCAAAGTCATCTGTAGCCCCTCAAAGATGTCCTCATTATTCATTTAGACACCTCAACTACACCTAGTACCAATTGAACACCTCTACCACCCCAGACTTGAACCATCTAAGCATTTTTTGCCTACATGGCAAATCGTTTGTGATTCACGCAAATCAGGCGCGTGAATTGTTTTTTCTCCCATTTTTTACCCTGCATTTAAGACATCCAACGTTAACTTGGATATTTGGCCGATATTTTAACATTAAAATCTTCTTCTTCCCCCAAATACATTTTAGAACCCTAATCCCCAATTCTCTCTTCTTCCTCTAATATCCAACGTTTCTCTCTTCTAAATCAGTTGCGTTTTATCAAATGTCACAAAGTTCAGTGAATATCGAGGAAGTCGATGTATGTAAGTGTGGTTATTATTGTCGACTGAAAACTTCAAGGACTCCATTGAAGCCAGGTCGTCGATTTTTTGGATGCAAAGCATCAAAGGTTTGTAGTTATTTGAACAAAAACTACTATTATTGTATTATTTGAAAAATCGACATTTTTGTATATTTA